CTTTCATATGAAAATTTTAATTTTAAATGAGCATAAGTGGCACTAAAAGCACCATAATGTTAGTGTCAATTCATTTAATTCTTCTCTCTCTATTTGGCCAGTGTAACATTAACTTTATTTTTTGCCAAATCTACCAAACTGAATAAAATTGAAATGATAGTAAAGGAAACATTGGATGAGAGATGAAGCTTTCATGAACCTCACGAATCAATTGCGGTTGATGCACACTACAATTTAGTGGTTACTATAATATGGGGAGAATTGTTAATGTGTACAATAGAATAAATATTATCTGGCATGTCTTAAAATACTGAATATAGTGGTAGATTTTGACTCACCAAAATTTTCATAGGGTAGAAAAGAAAAAATGAACTATTGATTGAGGATTGCAGTAAATTCTGGATTCTTGATATAAATAAAAGTTTGATCACTTAGAAGTAGCTTGGAGCAAAAACATTGGATGACAACATAGCAATATATTCCACTTGAATTCATTGTCTATGATTTAAATTAAGGTAATCTAACACCGAAGGTCTTTGGTCATTTTTTCACTAAACTCAAAAGTTAAGTCATGCATCCTTTGGCTAACATTAGAAATGAAGATGCATGAAGCATTGATCTTTCTAACGTAAGCTCTCAACAACATTAGCGAAAAGAACTTATTACATTTATTTTACAAGCAAATGATCACTGAAAAAAGTTTTTTTAATGCAGAATTGTGTATTTGGAGGGTTAATCTTAAAAAACAAAGGACAGATATCCCTCCAAATACACAATTCTATGCAATTAGGTGCAAATTTTTTCAACGCGTAGGCTGCCATATTTGTTTGTCAACGGATCCAAAAGATAGTAAAACCAATAAACTTGGTAGCACATGGATCTATCTAGTCCGAAGAAACTATTCTCAAACATATAATTTCCTAGCATGTTCAGCCTAATGACCCATAGCTGGAAGGGATCGATCCACAAGATGGCATGAGGAATGGACAGAGAAATTATGAACGATCTATCCTTTATAAGAGTGGATCAATCCGAAGCATGGAAAGTGGAAAGAAGAAATGTAGGGATCGATCCCTATAAAGAAAGGATTGATCCCATGTTGCGAAAGGACATATGTTTCGATCCATTATTGTACTGGATCGATCTCTCGGTAGAATTGTTAAAACATAAAGTTTTAAGGGATCGATCCCTAGTTTTTATGGATTGATCCTTGCATTGAAGATTTTGTTTTAGGGATCGATCCCTACATGCACAAATTGAAGAACAAGTAAGCGATTGATCCTCACTTTGTAAGGATTGATCCGAGGGGAATATTCTTGCTGACTTTGGAGTCCTTTTTTGTCCAATTTGTGACGGTGTAGCCCCATGACCCTATTATAAATACATCCTCATGTTATTGAGAGGGAACATAATTCTGATTCTTAGACGAGCAACCTCTTCACTTAGAATTTCATTTTCTTTTTAATCACAATTTTTGGAGATCCAACCATGAATTGTGCATAGTCTCATTGTACTTTATAGTTAGGGTTGACAGATTTATAATTATTTATTTGGGTCTTTAAGTTTGTGTAATTTTTATTTTGATATCAATGATTAATCTTTTATTTATTCGATTGATTGAGTGTTTTTAGATAAATTTGGTACTTTTCAGGTTCTACAAATCTACTTACTTGGTATTGGAAGGAAAAAAATATTTGAGTTGATCTTTTAATTTTTTGATCTACTACTAAGTGAATTGGTTTAAAATTCAGTAATTTCATTAACACAAACCTAAAATTGTAAAATTTTCATATGATATAATTCGATTGACACTCCTACTTGGAAGAGATTAAATGACCTAAATATTGCGTCAACTTTATGAACCAGTCAAAAAAAATCTATATAATAAAATAGTTAGATTGTTTGTCTTGACCTTTTTGTAGTTCAGATTTTGATTCGATGATCCTAATTGAACTTCCATTCATTTTACAACTCTAAGTCTCTTATCTTTCATATAACTCTCTTTATCTATCTTATACTCTCTCTCCCTCATACTATTATTATTATTTCTATTGTTTCCCTGTGTTGTTTTTGTTATTATTTACTCAATAAAATAGATGAAATTACGTGTTATGCAATTTTTTATTCCATAAAACTAATTCAAAGTTTTTATATATCTGATGTTATATATTTTCCCCCTTACTTCTTAATTTGTAAATAACATTAATATAAGTATTAATTTATTATTATTTTATCTCAAAGAATTTGAATTGTTGTATTTCTAATAAAAACAATTATTGGTTAGAAGAGTTTATCGGTAACCAAAAAAGAAATGTGTGTGTGTGTGTGTGTGTGTGTACAAATGTAAAGGATTGGATATTTGGTGATTAAATTTATAATTATATTGTGTCATTTGAGGTTGAATAATGATAGTGATGATAAATGCATGATTTTTATAAATTAGCAAGATTTGATTGATTTTATTTACCTATTAAAGATTGTAAATTTAATTTTTTTTTATTATTTTTTTTTTTTTTCTTGAGGTATTTATTACACGGGGATAGAGTGGATTGGAAATATGATGGTTGAGTTTATAATTATGTTGTGTTGTTGGATTGATTGGTACTAGAAGTGATAAATTCGTGAGTTTTATAAATAAGTAAGATTTTATTTATTACTTAAATATTATAAATTTCAGTAGGTTGTGTAAGTAATTTTTTTTCAGTAACATTTGCATATATGGTGTTGTTTTGGAGAGTTTCTATATATATTTATGACAGTTTCATTAATATGTAGGATATGATCGACGATATACTTCGAGTCATTTTAAAAGAAGAATTTATATTAATATTTTTAGACCAATCTTTTTGAATTTGGAAAATTTTTAAAATTTTTTATTTGTTGTATAGTACTTTCAAGCACGGACAAGCAATTACTTGTATTTTAATAAAACTCGTGAGCTACATCAGCTTAGCCAAAACAACTGACCTTCATAAGGTCGGAATTAGGCATTTCTTGTAACAACGGAGTTTGATAAAAAGTTCAATGTGTTCTCTTGTTTGTTACAGTGGTTGTTAGCCCTTCGAAAGGCAAAGCTCAACCAAAATCTGCGTCGAAAACCTTTGACTTTTTCAGAAATCAACGCATGGCGATGGCGTTAAGTGGTTTGCATTTTTGACGATATGTTGTACATCCAATACGGCTTTTGAAAATTCTAAAGTTTTTTGACTTTTAAGCACTTACTTTGTCAAAATCCTTCAGCAAGCTAATGGATTTTGATAACCATGCTGAGCAATTTATCCAAATAATTGTTCAATACAAATCTTGAAAGTATGAAAATTTCGTAACTGACGAAATAAATGCAACTATTCTCCACATTGTGTATGTGGAAATAGTCCATATGGGCCTAATTACGCCAACCAATGTTTCTGTTTTCTTCGCTATCAAATTGCTTCCCATGCAAAATTTAGTAACATATCGTATGAGAGATTACACGCCAAAAATCAACTGATCCAAATATAGTTGGTCCTTTTTAATCTCTCAAGATTAAGATAAGAGATGACTTGATATACATATATCGTCTTTATTATAATAGTTGATAATTTATTGTAATAACTTTATTCAAAATTAATTTACTATCCACACCCAAAGATTTTTTATTATTGGGGTGTGGGGGGGGGGGGGGTTTAACCTTGTCCCAAAATGAGAACTGTCTTAGACACATTTTTTTTTTATTTTAAAGCCACCCAATATAGGGGGGGTTTGGCAGGACCTTTACCTATATATATCTAAAAGGAAAAAAGTACAAGAGAGGAGGACAAAAAGTCAAGCTCCAAGAATACAAAGTGAGAGAAAAAGTTAAAACAAAAATAAGGTGATGACTCACTACCAAAAACATGAAAAATAAATAAACAGAAAGTGGGAACTCCCCACCGAGCAAAATAACAAAAAATGAAAGTAAAACTCGACTTATAGACATTTAGGTGTTCATGGTTTTGACCTTGTTGAATTGTACAATTAAGCTACCTAATTATCAAAAAATATATAAATATTCTTGCAAAATGATTTTTTTTTAAAATTACGTTGTCTAAATTCTAGAGTCACAATTATAATCCTCCAATAATCTCAACTGTTTTATAATAGCTTCTTCTTCCCGTCCATGAGGAATGTTTAGTGACTTGAAATTCACAAGCAAGTCCAACATTAGTGTATGCTTTGTGCATTAGAATCAAGAAAAAATTAATATATAATTGAGGAATTAAGGTTGGTCAAAGTCAAAAATTTCCATTTGGTTTGTGATTGAGAATAGAGAAAAAAAATTGATGTGTGATTGTTGATTGAGAATGGAGAAAAAAAATTGATGTGTGATTGTTGATTGAGATTAGAGAAAATCATTAGTGTATGATTAGTGATCGAGAATCAAGAAAATAATAAATGTATGATTGGCGATCTACCAGACTTTTTCATGAGTGAGAAGGACAAAGCCTCAAGTACGCTGGCTTATGAATTTGCAAGAGGCATATTAAGGGATGATTTTTAATAGAAGATTAAGGGCTGAATTTGTAAGAGGTATATGGTGGCGTGTGTATCTTTCTTTGGTCTTTCGAATAATATACATGTAAGATTATGTAAGATGTTGAAAGTATTGCATTTCTGCTTTTTTCATTTGTTGTATATTGTTGATTTTTATTATTCTTTTGGTAATGTTTTCCTTTATACAATTCTTTGTGATTGTATTGATTGCAAATTTTAAAGTTTTAAAATTAATAGAAGTACTCATTGTAATGGAGCTTGCGGATTAAGTTAGAAATTTTATGATAAAAAAAAGTTATTTTGATTAAATTTTATTCCATTCTAATAAAAGATTATTTTTACTCAAACTTTGATTTTGACTAATTAGTGCACACGTGCGTTGTACGTAAATTATTTTACGTTTGTTTTTTGGTTTTATTTTTACTTTTAAGTTGGAGTTTGATTTTAACTTGGTCATTCAGTAATGCACCAACCCTAGCCGTCAGCCGCTATGCTTGCCCAACCCAGACCGCCTGCAACCACCGACAGAACCTTTCACTGCCTACATCCACCGACCGACTTACATCCTTCATAGCCCAAACTCTACCGATTGCACCGACAGCACCCAAACCAAACCCCACATCCAGTTCAGCCACCGACTGCCAATAAAAAACACATGTTCATCCATCGACTACAAGCCACCGATTGCACATAACATTCTTAGCGGCAGCTAACAAAACCCACCGACTTCTCCAGCCATTCCCGGTAAGTTTTTCCTTTAAAAATTAGCTTTATTTACACTCCACTGATGTCGCCATAACCAGCCCATCCTCCGCCGACATAACCAGCGACCTGCCCTTCACCAACTGCCAATCCACAACCGAAGCCATCGGCCTGCCCTTCACCGACTACCAATCCACAACCAAAGCCACCGACTGCCCATCCATATACCAGCGAAACCAAAACCAAAAAATAAAAAAAAAAAAATATATATATATATACCTAACCCTAACCCTAACCCTAACCCTAGTCTTAGTCCCTCCTCCACACCACTCCACTGCTCACCCCACCGACTACCCGCTACCCAGCGAACAACCATAACTAGGACATCAATCCAGGGCATCGAACACCTAATCGATGTGCCCCATGGCCAATCTCGCTATCGGTGATGACCCAACCGCCGACCTAAACCCACCACCTGATCCTCCCCCTCCTAGCGCACACATTTATACTGGCGGAGTTATCCACCACTCCACTGCAGGCGACTTACATCACGTTGACCCCGCAAATTACTCTCAATCTGCCCGTCCCATCCTCAAACCCGGACCACTTCCCACAACTAACACCATTCTCCAACCTCCTTCAACTAAACACCAACCCGGCCAAAAACCCAACACAACCTGCTGCCCCCAAACCAGCCATACCCACCACCCATAATTCTTGGACCCAACCCCCTGGTTTTGCCCCAAACCTAACCCGGCCACAAAAGTCATTCATAAATGTTTTGAGGGGATCTGCCACCCTTGGCTCCGATGCCCCAACCCGTCGAATTCCCCTCCCCATCAAACAGTATAGGGGTGCCCCAGCAGTTCATTTTTCTGATGAGGAGATTGAGAGTCTCGCAGCTCCTTTTAGATTGGCTTTAGTGGGCAAGTTTACCCGAGGCCGACCTCTAATGAAAATGATCAAGAGATTCATTCAGCTGATTGGATTGAGGGGGCAGGTTAGTGCCTCTTTGTTAGATAGCCGACACGTGATGCTAATGTGTGACCTTCAGGAGGATACACCCATCTCTGGGTGAAGCAGGCTTGGTCGGTTTATGGCAGAGAGATGCGCGTGTTCAAGTGGACTCCGCAATTTTGTTGTACCGAGGAGTCGCCTATAATTACTATCTGGGTTCCATTCTCATATTTACCAGTCCACTTTGTGTGCTCCCAGGATGCATTATTCTCAATAGCTTCGGCGATTGGGACGCCTTTACCGGTTGATCAAGCCACAACAAGTTTGAGCCGACCTTTAGTTGCCAAGGGGCTGGTTAAGTATGATGTCACATGGCGGCGGGTGCCGAGGATTAGGATAGGCAAACAGAAGACTGAATTTTGACAGGATGTGCTCTACAAGGATGTACCACAGTNATATATATATATATACCTAACCCTAACCCTAACCCTAACCCTAGTCTTAGTCCCTCCTCCACACCACTCCACTGCTCACCCCACCGACTACCCGCTACCCAGCGAACAACCATAACTAGGACATCAATCCAGGGCATCGAACACCTAATCGATGTGCCCCATGGCCAATCTCGCTATCGGTGATGACCCAACCGCCGACCTAAACCCACCACCTGATCCTCCCCCTCCTAGCGCACACATTTATACTGGCGGAGTTATCCACCACTCCACTGCAGGCGACTTACATCACGTTGACCCCGCAAATTACTCTCAATCTGCCCGTCCCATCCTCAAACCCGGACCACTTCCCACAACTAACACCATTCTCCAACCTCCTTCAACTAAACACCAACCCGGCCAAAAACCCAACACAACCTGCTGCCCCCAAACCAGCCATACCCACCACCCATAATTCTTGGACCCAACCCCCTGGTTTTGCCCCAAACCTAACCCGGCCACAAAAGTCATTCATAAATGTTTTGAGGGGATCTGCCACCCTTGGCTCCGATGCCCCAACCCGTCGAATTCCCCTCCCCATCAAACAGTATAGGGGTGCCCCAGCAGTTCATTTTTCTGATGAGGAGATTGAGAGTCTCGCAGCTCCTTTTAGATTGGCTTTAGTGGGCAAGTTTACCCGAGGCCGACCTCTAATGAAAATGATCAAGAGATTCATTCAGCTGATTGGATTGAGGGGGCAGGTTAGTGCCTCTTTGTTAGATAGCCGACACGTGATGCTAATGTGTGACCTTCAGGAGGATACACCCATCTCTGGGTGAAGCAGGCTTGGTCGGTTTATGGCAGAGAGATGCGCGTGTTCAAGTGGACTCCGCAATTTTGTTGTACCGAGGAGTCGCCTATAATTACTATCTGGGTTCCATTCTCATATTTACCAGTCCACTTTGTGTGCTCCCAGGATGCATTATTCTCAATAGCTTCGGCGATTGGGACGCCTTTACCGGTTGATCAAGCCACAACAAGTTTGAGCCGACCTTTAGTTGCCAAGGGGCTGGTTAAGTATGATGTCACATGGCGGCGGGTGCCGAGGATTAGGATAGGCAAACAGAAGACTGAATTTTGACAGGATGTGCTCTACAAGGATGTACCACAGTATTGTTCTGAGTGTAGGCATTTAGGCCATTCTGTGGAGACCAGCATCACCCATTCCCAACACCGGAAGGAGGTCAATGGAGACCGTCCACAACATGGTCGACGTGATGGCCAACAGAGGACTAGACCACAAGAGGGAGCACCCAGTCATAGAGCTCCAGCCCCTACATTTCCTCCCAAGAGTATCGAGCAGGTTAGAGTATCCTCTAGGGGAATGACAACCAATGTTCCTTCTCCTAGGGCTATAGTTGCTGCCACTAGGGAGTCTGCCTCAATTGCTCCTATCCAGATTGTTGTTGAACCGCATACTATGGGTGAGCCAATAATTGTGGTCAGTTCAGATAATATCACTGCTAGTGCTGTGCAGGAGCAAAGTTTGTGCCCCGGTCCTGTAGTAGCCACAATTTTTTAGCTAGTCTATGATGGACCTGTGACTATCCCGACCATTTATTTGACTATTCGTTAGCTTCCAGGGGTTCAAAGTCCCCCGGTTGTATCAGTTTCTGAGGATACTAGTTTGAGGCGTAGAGATAAGGGTGTTTTTAGTCGGACCACGGATTACACCACCTTGATTGATATCCCTCTCAACCCTGGATTGTATTCTTCTGGGGTTGAAAGCCACTTTACTAGAGATATATCCTCTGATGAGTACTTGGGTGATGATGTTAGATCTTTTTCTGACTCGCAGACGGGTCTTTCTTAGCCTGGAGGAGCTTTAGTGCCTTATGATGCCTCATAGTCCGGTTGGCAAGTCCTAGTGCGTAGATCCCAGCGTATTGGTAAGGGAGGTTGAGCAGGCAGAGGAGGTAGAGGTAGTGGACCTGGTCGAGGGAAGCTTAATGTGGTTCTTCCACTCCTTTCTGATGATTAGTACGCTCATATAGAATATCAGAGGGATCAGTCAGGCCTCTTCGATTAGAAGGCTCAGGAAGCTGATGCGCTCACACCACTTATCGATGTTATGTATTTTGGAGCCTTTTGTTGACCGAGATCGGATGGAGTCTTTTAGGATTCGTTTGAACATGGAGCATAGTTTTTGTTCTATTTCAGGGAAGATTGAGATCTTTTGGTTTTCCCCTTTTTGGTTGAAGGTTTTTCAGGATGATGGTCAGGTGGTTCATTGCCAAGTACGGCATTCTTCCTTAGCGAATCCAATTTTTATTTCTTTTGTGTAGACGAGTTGCGTGGCTTCTTTTTGGCAGGGTTTGTGGGATGCTTTGACACAGTTTGGGAGCATTCATAATGGTTCGTGGATGGCTGGTGGGGATTTCAACGTTGTTGAGTCCCATTCTGAGATCCGAGGGGGTCATACTTAGTCTCAGTCCGCTATTGATGTCTTTTCCCTAACTTTGTTGTCAAGTGACTACTACATACGATTTATTAGTTCAAAGACATTTGCAATCAAAAATTTTCTCATATGGAAGTACCATCTTTGCTTCTTCTCTAGATAATGGGGTATTATTCTAGAAATTTCCCATTTACCTATCTAATTAATCACTATTATAAAATAAAGAGAATATAAAACATAGAATGTAAAAGAGGTAAGAGACAATAAAAATGCTAGAGAAAAAGTTTTCAACTTGTATCTCTCAATTTACTCAAAATCTCGTTTTATAGGCTTCCAAACATAATGACCATTAAATAAAATATTAAATGTGGTATATCAATGGGTAGTGGATTATAAGCTAATGCACTAATGCCCACTAATTTCTATTTACTTAAGGTACTAATTAGAAGATTGAGGGTGATCCACTTATATACAATATATATAATATTTACAACATTCCTCATTAAATGACCACTATGTTAAGATAATATGTCTCGTTAAAACCTTGCGAAAAAAACCTAGCAAAGGAAAAAAGTAGAAATTCTAATGAATCTTAGAATAGATTTGAACGCAAAAATACTGTCTCATTAAAACCTTATTAGCAAAACCCAATTGGACAAAACCTAGATGACAAAAATAAAAGAATACAATGTGCATATTATCTTGTTTCTTAATGTAGATACTCCCCATGATAAAAACATCAACAGGATTGGTCACAAATCCAATGTATTCCAATGTCATATACCAATTTATTAAATATTAATGATGGTAAAGTTTTTGTGAATAGATCTGCAAGATTGTCACTATATCATATTGTTTTACTTCAATTCCATGGCTCTGCTGGAGTTCATGAGTACAGAAGAACTTTGGTGAAATATATTTGGTTTTGTCTTCTTTAATAAACCCACTTTTAATTTGTGCAATACAAACAGTGTTATCTTCAAATAAGGTTGTTGGTGAATCTATAATCAAAGGGAACCTACAATTATCTCGGATGCGATGGACTATAAACCTTAACCATACATATTCACGGCTCGCTTCATGGAGTGGAAGTATCTCAGAATTATTTAAAGATATAGCAATCAAAGTTTGCTTGGTAAATCGAAATGTCATCACATGTGAAAAAATACTCAATTTGTAAAAAAGCATTGTGGGGATCTCATAGGTATCCAGAATCTGCATAACCAACTAAATTTGAATCATTGACTGATTGTTTAGAGTATGACAAACCCAAAACTATAGTTCCACAAAGGTAGCGTACGACATGTTTTACACCATTCGA